TACCAAAAAAAAGAAAAAAAAGAAAAAAAAAAAAAAGAAAAGAAATAAGAAAGGCGTCTAAGACACTTTATTATTTTTATTCATAATTATTTTATTATGGTTATTAAAATCAGAATGGTAAAACCACTTGGGAAGTATTAAATCATCCTAAAACCATCTGAGTACGAATTAACTATTTTCAAATGGACATGGTACTACAAGGGTTTTCAATGAAATGCTGCTGGTAAAAAACTGAAAACGACTTACCAGTGATATATCCTCATCTGGATGGATCAACTTACTGGTTGCACTGGTGGTTGTAAGTGTAGCAGGCTTACTTGTTATTGAAGCTGCTGGTTTTGCTGCAGTACTATTTGTAGTACTAGTGGTTGAAGCTGTAGACTGTGTATAAGCAGGGAATGTAGGTTTTGGGGGTTCTGTAGTTGTGGCAGGGGTACTATTTAAGGGCTTGAAATCTGTACCAACAGGTCCTTGAACAGCTGCCTGAGCCTGTAAAATACAATCTTTTATCAACAAAACCTCAAAACCCAAAGCTGTGTTTATCTATGAGCAAATTAACTTAAAGAAAAAGGACACAAATATATTAAAGGACCAAACTTTAAATTAAAATTAATGGATGAGAAATGCTCCACAAAATTCAAGATAACTCATAAGAATATCAGAAGATGATGCATTAAAGTCACATTACAGAGAACAAGACTTAGGTAACTTTTCAGATGTCTTCTAGCTCCTCACCCAAAACTTAATCTATCATGCTTTGTACTTAACTATTCCAGATTGCTGAAATACAGTACATTAGAATCTAATGTGATCTATTTCTACTAGTCTATACAGTTGCTTAAAGTAATTAATCTAAAAAGCAACTAAAAAGTTAAAAACTACAAAATATGAGAATTTGGATAAACTCTGTTTACTTAGTATGAAAAATTAGTACCAATGGCAACATATTAAAGATAGGACCTTAAATCTTTTTTTTGTAAAAGTATTCTTTATATGATACCTTCCAAATTAGCAATGGCTAGATGATCATGGACAAAAGGGTAAACTTAGCAGGCTCTTTCAAGTTAAAAAGTTACCAGTAACAAATGTTACTTTTCATTATACCAAACATCTAAAATATTGATTAGGTCAACTTTAGAACCAAATGCACAGAATTAAATTTCCTTATATTGAATATGATGCATTAAAGAGCATAAATCAAAATTAGCTTAATCATGCATCAGGATAACCACTGGATACTATAAGGCATTTACTGCTTACATGCTTTTAACCCTTTAGAACCAAAGGAGTCTGGGGTTCTTTTAAGTTTTTTTTTTTTGGTATGAATACAAATTTCATATACAATTTGATTTATTAATACCATTGATTTTACTCAAGAAAATTATATACTTTAAAGAAAAGATTTAGTTTTTATGTAGGGTCCAAAGGGTTAATTTATAAAGCCATTTTAACAATTTTAAACTGCAACTTCCTGCGTACTTGTGCTGTGCTAGGAAACAGAGCTTTAGAAGATGCAGACAGACTTTCTGAATTGGATGAAGCTGTACTTGAGCTTGTTACAGGTGTCCCCATCTGTAGCATAAAAGAAAGGAAACAATGAAAAGTCTCCAAACAAATGGGTGAAAATAAGCCATGTGGCAGACTTTTTAGTATAGATTGGATCTTTGTAAATGCAAAATTTTATGCAGTCAAATGTCATTTTAAGAGACAGGCAAGTAATGCATTTACAATAAACAAAGTAAAAGTATGAGCCTCAAAAAAAATTTAAAATTCTCTATCAATAAACCTAGTTAACCATAGTTTCTTTTCTAAAAACTAATGTGTTCTGCACTGTAATATTTCAAGAATACTTTAAACTAAGGATGCTGTAATACTGCAATTTCAATTCTGCTTCGACTACAAAACAACTTTAGCTAAAAATTTAACATTTGTAATTAACAAAATCCCTACCCACCACAAAAGCTTAATATGCTTAAAAAGCAATTAAAAGTAATGCTTTTAACTTATTACCTTCAAGCAGAAAAAAAACTAAACACCTAAGGAATAATCTAAAAAAAATAATAAACACATACCCTGATCTTAAATGCATCTACATTAATTCTAAATGAAACTTTTAAAAAAAGTGCATCCTAGACATAATAGATGCATCTTCCACTTACATTTTAGAGTAAGTTTTTTGTTTTGTTGGGGTGTTTTTTGGTACTGGGGATCGAACTTGGGTCCTTGCGCTTGTGCAGCAGGCAGCGAAACCAATGAGCTAAATCCCCGGCCCCTTAAAGTTTTGAAAGTTTGGAAGACCACTAGAAAAAATGTGACTAGATCAAAAGCCATTAAATAATGCCCAAGAAGAGTGCAGCACTTTAACTTATCATGGTTCTAGATGAGAGCCCCAAAGACGATGTGCTAAGGTCTTACAAACTTTCATCTTGGCCTCTGCCCTCCATTCACATTCTAACAGGCAAAAGAGGATCTCTAAACATTACCATCTATTTAAGTCTCCAGAGATTCAATTTGCATTTTTAACTATGGACAAGGATAAAGAATCTACAACCATGAAAAACATAACATACTGTTTTTGACTCCATTCAATTTTTCAAGAGTAGAAGAAATTAAGATATGTAAACACAAAAAAGAATAGCCACTTTTTGCTATATTTAATCAAATTAAATTTTTTATTGAAAGAAACTGACCTGGGATAATTTCAAAGATTTCCATAAAACAATTACACTTAACCTTTAAATTTTAGGGAACTCCTTTTCAGCCATTTTACCTTACCTGTCCAGCACTGGGGAAAAGAGGCTTAGTAACTGGAGGCTGCGGAGCAGGTACTGTTGCTGTTGGTGCAGGTGGTCTATTAAGAATACCTGGTGCTGAAACAGCCTGTGCTTGAGTCATCGGAGGAATTCCAGGACGTGGAACAGGGGGAGGCATACCTGCAGAAGGAAAAGGGGAGGGGGCGGTGCTATGTGAAACATTTAGCTCAACAAGAATGCTTCCACACTAACTGCTCAACAACTATGAAAGAACTTAGGCATTTGTCCTTTGTAACAATTTCACCTCAAACTTTTCCTTCGTTAGCATTTCAGGATTTTAACCACTTGCCCCTACATATGACCAAAATAGTAATTAAGCTGACTGCTAATATTCATCTGGCCAACTTCTTAAAATATAGAATTATTTCAGTCATCTACCAGCCAGATGTCTTTAATATTCCTTAGATAAGAAAATTATTTCAATACACCAGACTTTTAAATATTCCCTGAACTCCAACAGTAAAAACTTTCATAAATCACAGCATACATTACACGTAAAAATCTTTCCAGCATTATTCCTTGGAATATTTTATTTATTTTTTTTTTTGGTAGGGGGATCAAACTGAGGACCTTGCACTTGCCAGGCAGGCACGGTGCCACTGAACTAAATCCCCAGCCCTCCTTTAAATATTTTAAACAAATTATCCTAAAACCCACTTTGATTCTTTAAAATTTCTCATTAACCTTTACTCACTTCTTTATCAAGTGAAGACTGAGTATTTTTTTTTTTTAAGTACTGGGGATTGAACTCGGCTCCTTGCGCTTGAGCAGCAGGCAGCAAAACCACTAAGCTAAATACCCAGCCTCAACACTGATTATTCTTTATTCTTTTAAATGCCTACAGTTTACAATAATATCCACAGACTATGTGTTATGAATTAATGGCTTCACAGTAGTAACTCAAATTTTGCTGTCTTCTCCTGTGTCCTTTCATATCAACTACCATGTGTACTTTTAAATATTCTATGGACTGCAAACTGAATGTGTACTGTGCTGAGGCAAAGCAATCAATTGTGCACCTCATGTAGCACACTTACTTGGTTAACAAATCCCTTTCCTCACTGCACCTCCTACTTTATTAAGTCAAGAACTACCAAGTGTGGTGGCACACACCTGTAATCCCAGCACTCAATAGGCTGAGGCAGGAGGATTGCCTCAAATTCAAAGCCAGCGTGAACTACATAGCAAGACCCTGTCTCCAAAAGCAAAAAAAAAAAAAATCTCAAAAGTGCAAGGTACTGAGTTCAATCCCCGGTATCAAAAAAAAAAAAAAGTCAAGAACTTCATTTCCCAGGTTCATCACAGCTACAAGGTCTGGACTTAAGGGGAAAGTTATTTCGGCACTTAGTAAAATTACTCTAAAAACTGCTATCGACACCCCTTCATGTCTGAGTCATAACTATTAACTGACATTTCTAAGGAAGAAAAGCTTAAACTTTGCAAAGGAAAAAGGAAAAAAAGCATGGGTTCCTGACATCAAGTCATATAATTAACTGCTTTTCTTTTTGAGACAGTCAAATCACTATACTGTTTAATAATCTGTTGGATCTCACCATGACTTTTCTAAAAACAATTCCTCAGAGAAACATTCCTTTAAGTACACTATCACTGCACAGGCTTTGTGAGTAACTGATTCCTTGCCATCTTTTTTTTCAGTATTTCACATCTTAAAAAAAAAAAGTCTACCTTAACATTTTTCCCATTAATACTACTATTTCTTTTTTTGATACTGGAAAGTGAATCCAGGACCTTCATATTGAGAAGGTCCTTTATTTTGACATAGAGTCTCACTAAGTGGCTAAATTTCCCCGGCTAGTCTCAAACTGAAGATTCTCCTGCCTTGGAAGTAGCTGGGATTACAGGCACGCACTACTGCATCCAGTCAAATTTATTTTAAGAAGAAAATTATAAAAAAATAAAAAATAAAAAAAAGAAGAAAATTATTTAGCATTTCTTACCTGGTGGCATACCAGGCATGAGAGGTGGTATTCCTGGTCCAGGTGGCATCATTCCACCCATTGGCATCATTCTATTAGAAAGCAAATTTCAAGAAACAATAGTTAATTAACAGCATAAATCATTAAGAAAGTATTTTGGCTAAAGCCTGAAACAACACAAGAGACTTGACCTCTAATACTAATAAATCAACCCACCATACACTACAATAATCCTATCAAAATCCAACCTTTTTGTTGACAAAAGTAAAAATCACTTAGGACTTAATTTAATATGCACAGAGTATCTTAAATGTGTAATTGAGAAGCAAAAATGACCCTCTGTCCCACTTGGAAAATATTCACACTCAGTATAAATTAAACAGAAGAAATTTTTTTTTTTGGTACCGGGGATCGAACTCAGGCCCTTGCGCTTTCACAGCAGGCGGCGAAACCACTGAGCTAAATCCCCGGCAGAAATTTCTTATTTTAGAGTTGTCAGGTTTTTCCAAAAGAAAATATTGAATATACTGTACACTGAAGAACTTCTGTTTTGGAGAAGCAAGTAAACACTACCACCAAAATTAAAGATGCTCAAAAGCAAACTCACACTGCCTTTTTTATTTTGAATAACCACTTAACACTACACCGTTACTCATTTAGAAACTCATATTTACTTTTTCTCCTAAAAATAGCCCATCTTCAACTACCAGTGTCCAATTAACTTAAAAAGATTAAATTACAGTTTATAGAGCCAGGCTTGGTGGCACATGCCTATAATTCCAGCACTTGGGAGCCTGAGACAGGAGGAACACAGCAAGATCAAGGCCAGCCTGGAATGCATAAGTGTTCAAGCCCAGCCTAAACTGCACAGCAAGATTCTGTCTCCAAAATCCAAAAAAATACCCCATGTCCAAAAAACAAGAATAAAAACACTATAAAACCAAGTCTGTCAACTCAATTTAGGACTTTTTATTTGGTTGGTGCCAAGGAATAAACCCAGGTAAGCTCCATTCCTGGCCCATCAACTGTCAAGCCCATTTAAGACTTTTATCAAAAGTTTAACCTCTATATATAGATTCTAATCAGAAAAAAAATCAGTTACATTTTATAACAAAGTATGTATTCTGGCATAATATATATTCTTTCTTAAATATTAACTATTATCAAGTCCCATTACTTTTAGAATTGTGGAGAAAATAGCTGTACATTTTGAAAATACTTATTTAATAATAGTCTATTTCCTCACAAATGTTTTAATTTCATCCTCTAAAGAGACCTGTGTCAGCCTGAAAATTTCAGAAGTTTTAGTAAGGAAGATCAGAAAATTTCTGAAGTCAATTGAATAGATATCATTCAACACACACAAAAAATGACATTATGATTATACCTCCTGAATTACATTATGAATGAGATGCTTACATGTTTTCACCGCAAAATGACTGGGTGTATTTTCTCTGATGATGCAATCTGTGAAAATGTATGACAAAATCAAAATCTAACTGTGACTTTCAAAATACAGTGGGAAAGTGTATTGAATACCTCTCACATCCAACAATATCTAAGTAAAAGTGACAGGCATGAGGACCTTGGAAATTCATTTCAGTTTTTGATGCTTTGACAATTATTTACAGTTTCCTTCCTATCGTAACTACAAAGTGTCACAAATAGTCTGCATCTTTAAAAACTCTAACCTACAACCAACTACTTAATTATAGTAAATGAAATTGAAGCGGATGGCTGCCTGCGTACACGGTAAAACCCAAATTCTCCTCTTCAGAGGCAAATTTATACCTTAAATGTATTGACTGACCCCTCACTAGACAAGTCTAAGACTTTCAGACCCCATATCTTCTAGAAGCAAAAATTGCAAAATAATATTTAATTCATATAACATCCAAGTTGAAAAAGATCATTATTCAGAATAAACCAACTGAAAGTGTTCTTACCCAGGTGGCATGCCTGGCATAACTGGTGGCATTCCTGGCATTAGAGGAGGAACACCTGGCATTAACGGAGGTATGCCTACAAACAAGAATTTCAACAACAAAAAATCAGTATTAAGGAGTTGGAAGAAAGTAATAACTCTACACCTTATCAACAAAATCCTACACCTGATCTTAGCCAAAAGAGAAGCAATTATCAACAAAATCCTAAGAATGCTCGATTGTAAGAAACTTATGCTACCTGGAGGCATTCCTGGTGCTCCTGGAACAGGTGGCAGACCTGGCTGCGCTATTGGGGGGATATAACCTTGCTGAGGCTGAACAGGCTGTGGCTGAAATGAAGTTGAGGCTGCAGATTCATCATCATCATATTCATCAGAATCATCTTGTTGCTTCTTTTTTTGACTTTCTGCTAAGAGAGTTTTAATTAATATTTCCATAGGTGAAAAAAAATTGAAAATCAAACATATTTAGGACAGTCAACATTTTTAAAAATTCACTTAATATTATTTTCTAAAAGAGGCATGGTGGTACATGTTTGTAACCCCAACAACCTGGGAGGACAAGAGGGGAGGACTGCAAATTCAAGTTCAGGCTGGGTACCTTAATGACCCTGTCTCAAAATTAAAAATAAGTCTGGGGAAATAAAAATAAAAATAAAGTAAAGAGTTTTCCAGCACGGTCTCAAGCACAAACTGTTTGGGCCAGAGATTTAGCTCAGTGGTTTCGGTGCCTGCTAAGCAAGCACAAGGACCCAAGTTCGATCCCCAGTACCAAAAAAAAAAAGTCTGGGGATACAGTTTAATTCCCGGAGTTCAATCCTCAGTACTGTAAAAAAGCAAAAATCTATTTTCTCCTCTTCAAATATTCCTTTGCTCTACATTAAGCAAGGTCAACTTTTCCCTATCCTATAAAGGCAAAAATGATGACCCTAAGTCAGTTTTAAACAGCTTTCTATTCCACCACAAAAGGTAAACTGTGACATTGAGGTCTGACCTCTCTGTAAAGTTTTTCAAAACAAACAAAAATAACTGCACGTGGGCCAAGGATTTAGCTCAGTGGCACTGCGCCTGCCTCAAAAGCGTAAGGTCCTGAGTTTGATCCTCGATTCTAAAAAAAAAAAAAAAAAAAAAAAACCACACAAAACCTGCATGTTATTATAGCTTCTACCATCTAGATAGTGCATGGTTTTGAATTCCAAGTCAAACAGTAATACTAAGCATAAAACATAAAAGATCCCAGCACTTGGAAGGATGAGGAATAAGGTTCACAAGTCAAGGTCAGCCTGAACTACATAGGAAGAGCCTGCCCCCTCACCAAAAAAAACTAAAACAAAAAATGAGAATTCTGGGCTGCAGATTTAGCTCAGTGGTTCTGCCACCTGCCTCGAAAGTGCAAGGTCCTGAGTTCGATCCCGGGTACCAAAAAAAAAAAAATTAGAATTCTGAAATCTATCACCTACCATTCAATTTATACTTGGTAATAGTAACACTCTAACAAAGGGAAGCTGTATTTTTACAAAAATACATCTTTAAGAGTTTACCTTGTGTTTTCTGTTCAAGAAGTCGTCGTCTTTCGTCCATGTCTTTTTCTGGAATGCCTTCCATCCCATATATTTCCAATTCTATGTCTGTTCTCCCAGGTATTGCATTTGGTACAGCATCTATTGTCTCTTTATGAACCTAACATTAAAAAGCAAAACTTTCATTAGATGAACACAAGTGTCTCATAAACTTTTTTTTTTTTTAGTACCAGGGATTGAACTCAGGACCTTGTTCTTGCAAGGCAGGCATGGCACCAGTGAGCTAATCCCCAGCCCTCATGAACTTTTAATACGGAATTTCAAATTACTCAAACAGTAAAATGATCAACAAATGGATCTATAGTGAATACTATCTAGATTCAATCCTTTGTTTTGCCACTTAATGGCTTTGACACTGGGCAAGTCACTTGCCCTCCAAAGCAGAGTTTATTCCATCTTCAGTGTAGCTAACTTTTAGTGTTATTTTTAGGATTACGCACTATCTAGGAAAAACACCTGGTAGAATGTCTAACAGACTAGTAAGGACTCAAAAGTCTCTCAACTTTACCTGTAATCTTAACTGGTTGAATTATTAGCAATAAGTAAGTGTTCCTACCCAAATCAGAGAAGTTTCAAGTCTGAATAAAGATTATGAAAACTTTACTTTGCAATGCTGGGGATGGAACTCGGGGCCTTACACATGCTAAGCCAAGTGCTCTGCCACTGAGTCACCTAATCTTCATAAAAGATCATGTTTTCAGCAGGGGATGTAGCTCAGTGGCAGAGCACTTACATGGCAATATCCTTGTCGTCTTGGTTTCTTCAGCAAATCTACTTAGACTATCAGATGTCAAAATATTTAGCCTAGACTACTGGTCATCTGCAAACTTGCTCTAGAAATGCAAATACTCAGGCCCCACAACAGCATTCTGTATTTTTTGTTTTGCAGTACTAGAAATTGAACCTAAGGCCTTTGCACCAAGCTCCTTCCCAGCCTGTTCTTTATTTTTTATTTTCAGACAAGATCTCACTAAGACACTAAATTGCCCAGGATAGGTGCGAACTTGCCTCATCATTTCAAGAGCCTTGATTATAGGCATGTTACCACCACAACCAAGCACTGTGTCTTTAATAAGCTCTCCTGATGATTCTGATATAAACCCAAGCTTGAGAACTGATTTAGAAGGGGCAATTATTTGCCCAAGCAATAGGTTTTCCTTCTTCTTAAAACATTTTCATGTTTTTTGAAGTACTGAACCTTAAACCCAGGGAGCATTAAGCTACATCACCAGCTCTTTTTTTTATTTTGATACATGATCTTGCTAAATTGAACAGGCTGGGCTTAAACTTGCGATCCTCCTACCCCAGCCTTTGAAGCAGCTGGATCTTGAGTATCACCACACGTGGTTTTTCTTGCTATTCTTTTTTTTTTTTTTTTTTGGTACTGGGGATCGAACTTGGGTCCTTGTGCTTGAGGGGCAAGCGGTGGAACCACTGAGCTAAATCCCCAGCCCTTTCTTGCTATTCTTGATACATGCAATGAAGCAATGAGGCTGAGGCAGAAGGACTGCCATAAGTTCAAGGCTTGCCTGGACTACAAAGTAAGTTCAAAACCAGCCTAAATTGTAGAACAAGATCCTATCTCCCAAAAAAGGCAATGATAAATGTAAAGTTGCTGGGAAGAAAAATTATGGATCTACTTAAAATCCTCCATTATACTTCAACCAGAATAGATTCCTTAGGACATTATTATTATTACTATTATTTATTTATTTAATTTTGGGGGGGGTACCAGGGATTGAACTCGGGACCTTGGGCTTGCAAGGCAAGCACTGGAACCGCTGAGCTAAAATCCCCAGCCCCTCTTAGGACATTATCAAGCAGAAGTTACCAGATCTTTACTAAAAGGACAGAAGATGCCTTAAGATTTCTCATCTATAAATCTGGAATACTTATGACTTAAATGCCAGCCCTATCTCACAGGTTGCTGTGAAATACAAGCACTGAGTCAATTAAAACCGTTACTAATAGGGCTGGGATGTAACTCAGTAGACACTTGTCTAGTCTAGCATGCACGAAGCTACTTCCTATTTTCTCTTTAAAGCAGTCCAACCAACTTTCACCCTTAATGACCTCCACTTTAATTCATTCTCAGGGCTGGGGGTGTAGCTCAGTGGAAGAGGACTTGTCTAGACTCCACAAACCCGAGTTCAATCAATTACCAGCATATACACATGAACACACCCACACAAACACAAGCCAACCAGAACTTGACTCAGTTAAGTAACTCATTCTTAGCCCAATGTGGTGGTGCATGACCATAATCCCAGCACTCTAGAGGCTGAGACAGGAGGATCACCACAGGTTCAAGGCCAGCCTGGATAACATAGCTAGACCATGTCTCAAAAACCACCACACACATTAAAAAATAACCTCATTCTTTTTGGGTTTTTTTGTTTGTTTTGGAATAACCTCATTCTTTAAAAGGTGGGGGACACAGCTCAGTTTGAAGCTTCTGTGCTCAATCTCCACAACAGTCATTGCAAACAGCTGGCTTCCAGGCTATGACTCTTGGTTTCAAACACCTTTCAATCTCCTTGGATGTTTCCCTTTAATCCATTTTCTGACCTCTAACTGTTGGGAGCGGCCCAGTACAGAGTGTCCTTGCACCTCTTTCCTATTCACCTTATACTCCCGAGGAAAGTACTTTTATTATCAGGGCTTAACTTAGCTACTTTATATATCCCAAATTTATATCTCTAGTTCCACTTTCTTCAAATTCCAGACCCTATATCCACCCACTTACATAAAATCTCCATCAGGACAACAGACTTTGTCAAATGTAACACAGGGCCGGGGATTTAGCTCAGTGGTTCCGGCGTCTGCCTCGAAACCGCAAGGTCCTGAGTTCCATCCCCAGTACCAAAAATAAATAAATAAGTCAAAAGTAACACAAAATTACCCCGTGGTCCTCATCACTAATTCTATTCTTCCTGCAGCTTTTCATAGTACATGGGAAGTCATTTTTCATACTGTTCACAACACCTTGAGGTCCTAACCCCTCACAACCATCTACTCTACCAGCAAATTTTGGTTTGTCACCAGGACCTTTTGCCTGGAATATTCCAAGTCTCCTAACTAGTCTCCCTGTAATCTGCACTCTAACTCCAACCCTCCAGCCAGAATCCTTTAAAACACAAAAATAAATAAATAAACCACACAACTAAACCAGAGCATGATGCATCTCTACTCAAATCCATTTCATTCAGAATTAAAAAAAACTAAAGTAGCACAGCACTGCCCTCTCCTTCAATACAGATGAATCCTCACGTGAGGGCCTTTAATTTACTGCACCCTAGAAATAGTTCTTTCTCATTCAGGTCTCTTCTCAATTGCATATCATCTACTCATTCAGGAATTTCCTATATGTGGCCTTCTCTACACCTATTTTAGTTTTCTCTACCACTTATCACCTTAAGACACACTTTATATATAGGTTAGTCCCTCCACAATACAAATCTAAACTCTACAATGGCAGAGACTTGTTTATTCACTGCTGAATACATATTACCTAAAACAGTGTCTAGCACAGTGCAATTCCATAGGCATTTTCTGTAATTGATAGAAATGTTCTATATCTACTTTTATCAACAGTCATCTATCAGCCCCATGTGGAAATTAAGTACTGGAAATGTGACTAGTAAAATCACAGAAAACCACATTTTTAATTATTAAATAGCCACATGAAACTTGTGCCTGGTGCAGTAAACAGCCATTGGTCTAATATATAAACAGAAAGTAAATTATTACAATAAAACCACCAAGTGAAGGAGAGCTATATAAATTTATTCATTTATTTCTGTGGCGTGGGGATCTAACTCAGGGCCTTGTGCATCCTAGGCAAACTCTACCACTAAGTCAATTTCCTATTCCTTATATAAATTTATGGGGAAGCAATGTCTCCCTGCCTCCCACCAAAGTAGTTTCCAACGTGTAAGGATCTACTCATCTCATATTTCTCTAAGGTCTAACTTAGGACAAATTCAACCAGCTCTAAAACTAGCAAAAGCAGAAGTAAGGTTGAATGTGTTATTCGATTGTTTACAATTTTTTTTCAAAGATCTAACTATGTCATAGTAAAAGGAATCAAGAATCCTTGAAATTATTACATCAAGCATAATGCTTCCATTCCAAAAGGGGCAAAAGGAATAAACTGTGGAATAAGCCTAGCCCCAAGCAAGATTATAACAAATAACTCCTTCAGTGGCAATGAATAATGGCAGCTAATTACATGTTAATTCTTATGGCCAGACTGCCCATGAGACTTAAATCATTCTTTCTCTCTAGGTATTCAGAGGAGATATTTTATGATCTGAACCTGTCACCAATCTAACTTAGAATAAAAAATATTAGCGATAATTAAAAGATAAATACCAACAAACTCTCTCTTCAAAGGGAAGCTATGTGCATTTGCCTGTAATCCCAGCACTCTGGAAGTGTGAGGCAAGAGGATAGAGGGCAGCCTGGTCAATCTGGGAAAACTGGGGGAGGGGGGCCCTCAGTAGTGGATAATGTTTATCACGTGTGAGGTCCTGGGTTCAATCCTCAACACCACCAAAAATCAGTAACAAAAAGAACAGCTTTGGATTTTTTAAAGTAGGTCGGCTATCTTATCTACTGCAAAACAAAATAACTACAATTATCAAAGACAAATTCAAGATTTATGTCATTTTCAAAACACAATAGGACAAAATATTGAGAAAATACTTACCTGCATGCAATGAATAGCTAAACCAGGTCCCGTATACAATTTCTTATGGCATATATGGCATTTAAAATGCTTTGCTTTTTGATGCTGTATAAGAATCTTCTCATCATCAAAATCTCTATTACAATACCTAATCAACATTGTTAAGGTTCAAAAGTAGCACAATGCAAATTTCCAATAATGAATGCCATTACATTGTATACCCAAAATGTACCAATGATTAGAATGAATAATCGATAATGTAAAATAGGAAGAAAAGGTCCAAAGGGGTAGGGGTAGTGGGAGGGGCAGGGGAAAGGAAAGAAGGGAAAGGAAAAATGATGAGAAATGGAAAAAATGGAAATAAAGTCTTTGTAAATAGGGAAGGGTGGAGGGCGTGAAGGGAGAGCTAGGAATGGGGAAAAAATAAGAACCAAGATGCATTATGTAAAGGTACAATTCCCAATGAGAAATGTAATTGTGTTGTATACCTACAATTCATCAATAAAAGAATTTAATACAAATAAATAAATAAATAAATAAAACAAAAGTAACACAATGACACTGTCCATAAGAACACAATTTGTACAAGCTGGGCAGTTGTGTGAACCTCTAGTCCCAGCTAGTTAGGAAGCTGAGATGAGAGAATTGCTTGAGCCTAGGACCGTGAAGTAGCCTTAGCAACACACATTTTTTATTTAAAAAAGAAAAGAAAAGGGGCTGGGGATTTAGCTCAGTGGTTCCGCTGCCAGCCTTGCAAGCACAAGGATCCGAGTTCGATCCCCGGTACCAAAAAAAAAAAAGAAAAATTATGATATGAGAACAGGAGTAACATTAAAACATGACAACAGCTAAAACCAAACTGTACTTCATGATCTACTCTTGCTGTTTATTATACAACTAGTGATTACACACACCATGTAATTTCCTAGCAGCCCATCTCTCTTCAGCACACCCGAACACACCTCAGTAACTGGCAATACACTTTTGTAAAATTCTTAACACAAATGTTACATGAAACTTTTCTCATATTTTGACACATACAAATGCACACGGAAAAGCTTCCTTGTTAAGAAGCCCCCAAATTTATGTTCTAAAATTAACTTTGGCCAGACAGGGTACTGCAGGCCTGTAATCCCAGCTCTCAGAAGCCAGATAGATCAAAGCGAGTTCGAGGTTAGCCTGAGCTACACAGTAAATTCAAGGCCAGCCTGAACTGCACAATGAGACCATGTCTCAAAAAAATAGAAAAAAAATAAAATTAACTTCATGGTGAATAAAGTTGCTTACAATTTCGTATGAATGATGTTGGGGAATGAACTTAAGTCATGAGTTCAATCCACAATACGGAGAATTTTCGCCTCATACTCACATTTTCCTACAAGCACATTACAAAATCAGTGACCGATTTTAAGGCATTTTTAAACTCGTTTTTAAAACTTCGGTTCTGCAACAAGCCGTTTTTAGGCAAAAGCCAGTAAATTAATTTTTTAAAAGTACGTTAAGCCTTCCAGGAAAAGTATTACAAGGATGCACATTTTAGTACGGGTTTTCTTTTCTGAAAAGTATTTTTCCGTCCTACAAAGTTAGGTTAATAGATATAAGAAACTCCACCCTGTCAGAAAAAGCCTCGTGAAGACTAAGGCACCTCTGGGTGAGACTTGGAAGCTAGGTCTCCGCCAAACGCCAGGGGCAAAAAATGGTTAAAACTCAGGGTTGACTAAGCCGAGCTTTTACTGAACCACCGATTCGACAAAACACCGCCAAGTGTGAGACGAACTCCAAAATATCTTTCGCAATCCTCCCGGGAATCAATTAGCATACTGCCCGAGAAGAAAGTCCCTTTGTTGAATCGTCACCAAAACAGAGGAAGGCCTCAGACAACGCTGCCCTTGGTGAAGGGGTCCCGGCCTCCTCCCAGTCGGCCACCTCGCCCCGCACAAGATCCCCGAGTCACCGAGTCCCCATCCCACAATGGCCACAGCCTCTCGCCCTAGGGACCCCTTATTCCTAGAATCCTCCCTAAATCCTATCCCAGCCACCAAGCCACTCACACCAAGGACTCGATCCCAGACACTCCCCACCACAGGCCAAACCCAGGCCTCCCAGTCCCAAGTCCTCAACCGCCGGCACGCTCGGCAGTTGGCCTCGACTTCAAAACGACAAAGGATATCAGCACCACGGCTTCAGCTGCTTCTTCTTCTTCCGTCCCATAACTGCACCCTACCGACAAAAAGGCGAAAAGAAACAGCAAAACTGAGGCGAAAAATCGCTCACTTTTCCGAAACAACGGTCACCAACGCGTCCCACAGGAAGCAGACACAAAATGGCCGACGCCCTCGTTTGCGCTCCGCCTCCCGTCAGGCACTGCGGCAGGAGGCGGGGCTGGGTAGGGACGTCACGTGACTCGGACCCCCGCCCCTGAGTGGGTGGAGATGTGTGGCCGGGGAGGGTCGGCGGCCGACATCTTGTGGGCTTCTGTGGTTCCTGCTCTGAGTAGGTGTACTTGCTAGTTCCCGTTTTTTTCGTAAGGCGGGCCCCACAGCGTTGATACGCCAAGGCGCACGCGAATTAGAAAGGAAAAAAAAATTACTAAAGTAATTAAAGGCAAATTACAAATAAAGAATAATTGAGAGGGCGCCTGATTTGTAAATTAATACAATTTTTTTTTTTTTTTTGGTACCGGGGATCGAACTCGGGACCTTGCGCGGCCGGCGCCAGAACCACTGAGTTAAATCCCCGGCCCCACAATTTTTAAATATCTCAGTGTTGATTATGTGCCTACTGCTTGCTAAGGCAAAGAAGTCATAGTCTGTGCTTTGTAGCATACAAAGTAGTGACCGAAGAGTAAAGGACCCAATGTGGTCAGTGGGGCGACAGCGATGGGGGAAACCGAGGTGCCGTGGGGTCTAAAATACCTGCTTCACTGGTCTTAGGGATGTCAGGAAAGGTCTGAATGCTCAGTGGGTATCTCACTAGCCAGGCAAAAGGAACAAGATTTTGATGATATTTAGTATTATTGCGTCTTGAGACAGGGTCTATGTAGTTCAGGATGGCCTTGAACACTATATGCCTCATCCAGGCTTCAGCGATCTTCCTGACTCAGCCTCCAGAATGCTGGGATAACAGGCAGGCGTACATCAAGGGCTAAAAAAATACAAGACTCTGGGGGTAGGGAAATGAAAAAACTATTGTAGGTCCGGAGAAAAGCAAAGGTGCTTTTTAAAGACATAATCCTAGGGAAGCTGGCAAAAGCAAGTGGGAACATGCCTGTAATTCCAGCACTTGTGAAGCAGAGGCAGGAGGATCAGCTCGAGTTTGAGGCCAGCCTGGGCTGCATAGTGAGTTAAAGGACAGCCTTAATTAACTTCATAGCAGGGCCCTGTCTCAAAAAACAAAAAAATAAAAATAAAAAAGAATAATGCATCCAGAGGTGGTCTAGATTCCAGTGCTTGTGCTCCTATTCTGTCAGTGCCATTGCCTAGCTGCATGAATTTGGACACATCACTTGGCAACATCATCTGGAACAGAGTTTGGCATTTAGCTGGTAGTATGAATGGTGTCACTGCTAAAGGCAAAAAATAATAGACATCCATAGGGTACTTAGCATATGTCAGGCATTGTAAGTTTTGCATTATAGACCTCTGGTCTCAATAAACCTGTGATACAGATGCCATTATTACCAGCCCCATTAAAAAACCACTTAAAATAGTTTGGATAATTTACCCATGGTCACAGTAAGTGAGGAACTGAGTTTATTTGAGTGTTGTTGTTGTTTTGAGACAGGGTCTCCCTATGTAGTTCAGGCTGGCCTTGAACTCACTATATAGCCTAGGCATATAACTCCTGGTGATCCCCCTGCCTCAGCCTCCCAATTGCTGGGATTACAGGTGTGCACCACCATGCCTTGCCTTATGCTCCTTTTATAATAAGCCTGTAAATCACGGCTCTTATCCTATGCTTTTCACCCTTAAATTGCATTCCTCCATCCTCAGGAAACAGCAGTATTGGTGGGCAACATATCTCAACTTCAAAAACATGTAGTTAGGGGCTGGGGATTTAGCTCAGTGGTTCCGCCACCTGCCTTGCAAGCACAAGGACCCAAGTTCGATCCCGGGTACCAAAAAACAATAAAAACAAAAACAAAACATGTAGATAGCTTTCATTATAACCTGACAGTGAGAATACGCATCCTACATCACCCATCTTGAAGACACCTCCTTAATGTACCCCACATCAGCTTGTAACACATCTCATTTCTCTGAATACCCACACTCCATTCTTGAGTGTCCTATAATCTCAGCCTAATAAACCCTACTTGTGCCTCTCTGATGCATCCTGAAAATTCTTCTTTTCCAATTTGAGTCAGTGAACCTGCAAACTTACTTTGTTTTTGTTTTGTTTTGCCTCAGTCTCCCAAGTGCTGGGACTACAGATGGGTACCACCACACCTAGCTTGAAAATGTATTTGGGAAGTGTGGGATAGGTTCTTTATTTCAACTGTGGAGACCTCTCAGAGCCAGCCCCTGTGAGCCCCCCCTTGGCTAGGCAGCCAGGAGGAGGCCTTTCAAAAACTCAAAGATCTGTCTGCCTGCTCCAGCTTTAGGAATTCCTGACATAGATAAACCATTTATTCTTTATATAGCTGAAAGGTGGGGTGGTCTTTTAGCACTGGGGGTTCTTACTCAAAGGCTAGGGGGCATTCTTTGGCCTGTGGCTTACTTTTCTAAACAATTAGACTGTGTCAGGTAGACGGCCTAGAGGCTTATGGGCTGTGGCTGCCACTGCCCTCCTAGTTAATAAAGTCACTAAATTAACTCTAGGGCCCATTGGAGGTCCAAACCCTTCATCCAGTTCCAGGTGTTCTTTCAGTTTAAAGGACACCACTGGCTAACTGGAGGCCAGCTATCTAAATATCAAGCTCTTCTTTAAAATCTGCAGAGGTCACTCTCAAGTTGTGCCACAATTTAAATCCAGCAACCTTGCTTCCCACCCCAAGAGGAAACGGCCTGCTTCACTCTGTTGTAGGGCCTGACCAGCCCCTAAACACCCCCCATGCAGGGCCAGGGATTTAGCTCAGTGGTTCTGCTGCCTACCTCAAAAGCCCAAGTTCAATCCCTGGTACAAAAACAAAAAACAAAAACAAAAACCTGGTGCAGACTGGTTTACTGACTCCAAGAGGTGATTGAGGCAAAGCTGAAGCTGCTTCCTTCAAACACTTCAGCACAAAAAGCTAAAGTCATTTCCCTACATGAGCCTTATACTTGGGAAACAACAAATGAGTCATTTTTATACTGACTCCAGATGTGCTTTCTTCGTGCCCATACAACTATACAGAGAAAAATGGTCACAGAACAAAATCTGCAATTCAACATGGGCCTTGCTGGGTGTGGTGGTGCATGCCTGTAATCCCATCCACCACTCAGGAGGCTGAGGCAGGAGGATCGCTGCAGTTTGAGGCCACCCTGGGCTACATAGTGAGACCTTGTCTCAAAAAAAACAAAAAATAGATCACAAAATTTTATCATCTGAGGCTGATCAATGGAAAATTATTAAAGGAACCCATGATTTGTACCACCTAGGGAGGGAAACACTGGCTACCTTGGTCAGCCAGGCTTTTGGGAGGAAAAGCCTTGAATCTACTATTGGAGAAATCACAAAGGCTCGCCCCCTTTGCCTCCACAACAATCCAGGAGGAAAAATTAAGCTTCCACCTTTGCTTAACCCAGTGTAAAGGTGAGGTACCCTACCTGGGGAAGACTGGGAAGCAGAGTTCACCCAGATGCCCCTATGCCAGGGATACAATACCTCTTAGTTTTTGCTGATACCTTCTGTGGGTGGGCAGAAGCATATCCCATCCCAACTGAAAAGACCAGAAAAGCTGCTAAAGCTTTGTTAAAAGATGTTATTCCTAGATTTGAATGTCCCAAGGCACGTCAGAGAAATAATGGACCTTCTTTTGTCTCCAGAGTGACACAGGAGTTTTCCCAAGCCTTAGGAATCATTCTTTTTTTTTATTACCGGGCATCGAACTTGAACTCAGGTCCTTCCGATTGCAGGGCAGGCAGCAGAACCACTGAGCTAAATCCCTGGCTCCAAACCTTTTTTTTTATAGATAGTCTCGTAGTCCAGGCTAGTCTCAAATTCATGGCAATCTTCCTGCCTCAGCCTCCTGAATGCTGATGTGCACCATCATAATTGGCTGTGTTTTGGGCTTTTTTGCAGTACTGGGGATTGAACCCAGGACTTTCTCACTGAACTACATCCCCAGCACTTTTTTTTTGGAGACAAGGTCTCACTAAATTGCCAGGCTGGGCTTGAACTAGCAGTCCTGCTTCAGCTTTCGAGTGTTGAGACCACAGCCCTGCACCACCATGTCCATTTTGGGCTGTGTTATATATAGGGAACTCAGGTCTCTGTAGGAGAGACCATCACTACCTTCTTCTGATCAGGATTGTTTCTAGGACTTAAGCCATAGAATGTGAAATAACAGTTAAGAGTGTGAATTTGGCACATTGAAACACCATCCAAAAAAACTGAAATAAGGGGGGAGGGTAGGACACAAGGAGTAATGGGAAGAGTGATTAAAGTATATTAGATGCAGGTATAAATATGGCAAAATGAAGCCCATTAATCTGTATAACTAATGTGCACTAATAAAAAGTGCAGGGGAAAAAATTAAAATTTGATTCTATACTCTGGGAGGCAGAGGTGGGAGGATTATAAATTCAAACCCAATTTAGGTAATCTACTAATTTAGCAAGTCCTTGTCCCAAAAACTTGTTCAATCCCCAGCACAAAATAAATAAATATAATAAATAAATAAATAACAAAAAAGAGGGGCCGGGTGTGGTGGTGCACACCTGTAATCTCAGCACTGGGGGAGCCCTGGGCAAGGTATCATTGTGAGTTCAAGACCAGCCTAGGCTACATAGTGAGTTCAAGGCCAGTCTGAACTACATACCAAGACCCAGTTTCAAAAAAAAAGGGGTGGGGGATGGGTATATAGCTAAGCACTTCCTGAGTTCAATTACCAGTACCACAATTAAGTAATAATTAATTTAATGCTATGTTGCTATATTGGCATTATTACTATAGCTGTTGCCAATTGATATGACAACTTGTAAAGATAAATGTCCTTGGATCATGTTCATAGATGGTTAAGAGACTACTAATATGATTCCTAAGATTACTCTCTGTATTACTTCCTTGCCTTCAATCACATTTTGTCTTCTCCTTGTACATGATTTGTCTTCTCAGTTATCAGCTGCTCTAGAACAAAAATTTTATTTTATTTTATTTTTTATTTTTAGGTTCTTTGAAACAGGCTCTTTCTATGTTGTTCAGGCTGGCCTTAAACTCAGTAT